TTTTCCTTCTTTTTTTTTTTTTTTTGGTACCAGGGATTGAACTCAGGGGCTCCCAACCACTGAGCCACATCCCCCAGCCCTACTTCCTATTTTATTTAGAGACAGAGTCTCACTGAGTTGCTCAGGGCCTTTGGTTTGCTGAGGCTGGCTTTGAACTTGTTATCCTCCTGCCTCAGCCTCTGGAGCCGCTGGGATTATAGGCATGAACCACCACGCATAGCTTTTCTAAATTTCTAATAAGGTAATTTTGTTAAAATTAGCTGGACAAGCAGATTCATAAAAATCCGTCACAAATATTTGAGACAAAGTAATAAAAGTGAATGTTACTCTATCAAACTGACATGCTTGTATTATACTTTGAAGTTTTTTTAATGTTTGATTAATGTTTTGCATCCTGCCTGGCCCTGTATGTAGCACATGCCTCTAATTCCAGCGACTCCCAGAGATTTGTGAGGCGGAGACAAGAGAATCAAAAATTTGAGGCCAGGGTCCGGGGTTGTGGCTCCGCAGAAGAGGGCTTGCCTAGCACTGGGTTCGATTCTCAACCACATATAAACAAATAAATAAATAAAGGTCCACCAATAACTAATAAAAATATTTTTTAAAAAATTCGAGGCCGACGTGGGCAATTTAGCAAGACTCTGTTTTTTAAAAATAAAAAGAGCTGGAGATGTGCGTCAGTGATAGAGCACCCCGGGGTTCAATCGCAGTTCAAATAAAAAGAAAAAAAGAAAAAAAAAAAAACAGAAAAATTGCAGCCTTACAATTCTATCTACTATTTCATAATTTAAAGGCCTCATAATAAGGTAATAGTTCAGAAATAGTTTAGCTTCCCTCTATCATTTTTTCATGAGCTGATTCAAATATTCAGCCATTAACCCAATTTTGGTAAACCTGGCTCTGGAAGTAGTTCTGCTTATTAATACGAAGTCCTGAATCCTATGAACTTCTCTGACTCATCAGATCATAGAGTAAAAATGTGATAATCCATTTTTTTCAATGCTACTCCTCTGCCTAAACATCCCCCTTTCATCCCGGAAATGACCAACACCTCTCAGAAGATGTTCAACAAGAGCTTAAAGTTGACCTACACTTCCTCCTCCTAATCCTACATCTTGCCATATAAAAGCTTTTACCTTTTACTAATGAGCACTTCCGGTCACTGCCAGAGAAGTGTTGGGTGCCCATCCATCAAGGAGTGCGAAACGCTCAGATTTTAAGTATTAATATGTTGCTAAAAAAAAAATTCTGTTTTCAATTTAAATCTCATGTTGATTCCATCTCTGGCAGTGATTTGTGCAAATCTGCCAGAGTCGCTGCTTCACAAACATGGATTTTCAAGAGAGGCTTCTTCATTCCATCCCCACAAGTTATCTTAAGCCTGCTAAGTATCGCTTATTTTTAACTTTCTGTTAAGAATAAACCGAGTGTTTAAAAAAAATTCATAACGTGCACACATGCCATCTCCAGATTTAACTAATCGTCTCTATTAATGAAAACTCCAAGCATTAACACACGAAAATTAGACAATCCTTTTGGAGGGGAGGAGGTACTGAGTAGGGCGCCAGTCTGTTTAAATATCTCAACTTCAACTCCATGGAAACAAGAGGGAATCCCCACTAGTAAAACAGCAAATAATAAGTGAAAGCACCATTTATTTTCAACAAATCTCTTTTAAAGTTGCAGATTAAATTCGATTTCTCATTTTTGTCTTATAAAGCACATAAAGACTGGGTCAAAAGGCAAACGGCGTGGGGTTCTCGGAGGTGGGAGCAGCGCCGGGCTCACCCCCGGCTGGAAGGGAAGGAGGGAAATGAGTGAAGGGGGTGCGAGCCCGCGGCAAAGAAGCGGGAGGCGGAGACCGACCCTCAAGCAGCTCGGGCCAGGCCGCGCCCGGAGCCCCCGAGCC